GCCAGCTCCAGTGTATGGCTGGTGCCCTAGCTGCTGAGCTATAGGTGCCAAGCCAAGCACCATCTTCTTGCCCACACTGACGGCACAGCACAACCCTCCAGGTTTGCTAGAGCCCCAGAAGGTGGGCCCTGGGGTACTGGGTGCATACTGGCTTCTCTCCCAGATGAAGAGTGTCAGAAGCAAGGGCTGGAGTTTGTCCCTGCCTGTCTGCTACACGGGAGGAAAAGGAGGGAAGACCAGAGGGACGGAGAAGGGAGGCTGCGCCCAAGAGAAGCCTTCTGGGAGCCCACATCCAGTGATGATGGGGGTGCCCTGAGTGATGACAGCATGACAGACCTGTACCCACGTAAGCGGGACCAGCCCCATCGCCCTGTCCCCTCCCACCGCGTGTTGTTGACACCTCTGCACAGAACCCTAAGCCGTGTCCTCTGGTCTTTATAGCTGAGCTGTTCACCAGGAAGGACCTGGGAGGGACTGAGAACAGGGATGGCACTGACATTTCAACAGATGAAGAGGACGAGAAGCCTAGGCCCCCATGTGAGAAGAGTGCTGGCACCCACAAGGAGATGGAAGGGGCCCGGAAGCGTCGGAAGGTGAGCCATAACCTCTAGGCTGCTAGCCCAGCAGCAAGGATGGTTTTCAATTTCGTAGAAACAAAAAAATTGAACTTTTTCATGAAGTTCCCAACATGTCCAGTAGAAGCCAAGCCAAGGCTGCTTGGTGGGGTGGTCACGTGTGCTGCCCATTGCTTCCTTGTAGAAGTTGGGCTCCTTGAACTGAGTCAGGAGGACCCTGCCCCCACCTCAAGCTGTGGCTGGCATGCACCCTAGAAGAGGGGACCTGATTGCTGGGCATCACCTCTGCCTTTGCCATTGCGGGTGGGCAGGTGGGCCAGGCACCCTGCTCTTCTACAGTGTGCCCCTCCTGCAGCTGGGAGGGGACCCAGGGTCTTTTCACACTAACGCCAGCTATCTTCTGGCTGGGGGAGCCCTGGGCTTGTAGAGCCCCTCCCATGGGGTTAGAAAGGCTCCAGTAATTGGAAATTTCTGTTCATGCTACAGAAGCAGCCAGGCAACCTGAAAAAGAAGTTCAAGAGTCATCACCGAAAACCTAAGAGCTTTGGCTCTTTTAAACCGTCAGGTTAATAAAAGGTGCTGAGAGCCTCAGCCCCTCCTCCTCGGGTACACGTGTCTTGACCTATGGGGTACCCGTCTCAGGACACTGGCTGTGCCCCATGGTAGGGCTGCTTGGCAGATAGTGGGGTCCTGTCAACCACAGCCCAGAAGCAGCAGAGACTCCGAGGGATGGGCCTTCACAAAAGCCTGAAGAATGACCTTGCCCGCTGCAGCGTCCGAAGGAGAGCCCTGGCCAGCCCAGCGGGGCAGCCCCATAGCATCACACTGTATACGACAAATGCCATTATTTATTTTGATGTGCTTCCAAAATTCAGAACGTTTTCAAACACAACTAAGATATAAAATACAGCATAAAATGAGATTTAAATCTGTTTCCCACATAAAGCAAAAAACTTTTCAAAAATTGTTTTGCCAGACCAATTGGTAGGTCACACTTTCCTCCTCCTGGCAAAGGTGCCCATCCCAGGCGTTGGCCTACTCAGGGCTGGGAAAACAGGCTCCGCACGGGGCGCAGGAGCTGCTGGGGTCAACCTGGTTTCCACCACCCAACCAAACAACACTGGCTACAGGAAAACAGACTCAGCAGTGTGATGTGATGGCCATCACCCTGCATTAACGGGAGGTGGGTGTGGACCAGGAGATGCCCCTGCCAAGTTTGAGACATTGAGTTAGAAGCCACTCTGTGCAGTAAGCATCTGAGTGACAAGGAAAAACAAACTCCTGTGTCCTGAAGCCATTGCTTGATCTTATAAATACTAGGAGACAGAGAAGTGGGCCCTACAGGGGGATTTAGAAACATCTTGAGACAAGTTTGGCTGGGACACAAAGCACATTGAGATGGTGCCCTCAGGGTAGATGGGTCTGGGTACAGGCCAGTAGGGATCCCAGCAGCACTGGTGGGCAGAAGTGACTTCACCTCTGTCCTACACAGCCAGTGGGTGAGCCATGTGAGAACCTGGAGCCTGGTTGGGATAACCACAGCCAGCCTGTCTCCAGATGGACATAGGGACCACAGAGAGATTCTGACTGCCCTAGTGGCATTCATGGTGCAGATGAGCAGGGAACAACAAGCAATTAAACCCCCCAAAAAAGAGGAACACAGTATAAGGCAATGTTAGAAAACTTTAAATACAGGATCAAGATCAAATCAGTAAGGCATCACAAATTGTGAAAAGTAATTTTGGCTGCATTCAGCATAGCAAATGGACACGGTCTGAGCAGGCAATAACCTTGTGAGTGTGGAGCTGCCCCCAGGGCAAGTGTGGCTAGGGACAGGCCCCAGATGTCAGTGTGAGGTTAACACGGCTCCAGTGTGGAGGGGCCCAGCCAGGTTGTGCTGCCCTGGGCAGGTCCTGTCCTCCTGCATGGCCTCCCCACTACTGGGCTCCAGGTGGCCAGCAGCAGCTGCCCTGAGGAGTTCTCACCCCTCATCCCTGCCTCAAAGCACTAAAGCATCCAGGGTGTTGCCAGGCTAGGACTTGGCGATCAGAGCTGGTTTTCCAATTGATGACTATCCAGAAACTGCAGCTCCCGTGGCCCTCTACTGCTGCCTTGCTCTGGGACTGTGACTCCCCAAATACTGTCACTGTTTCTATACAGGTGTTTAAATGTGTGTGGTACTTGGCTGAACCATCCAAAATAATTTAGTAGTTTGAGCTAAAAATGTAAACTTAAAAAGAGGGAGACTGATTTGAATGATACACAAATGTGTCTGCTCACAGTATAGCTTGAAGGCCTCCTCCCCCACCAAAAAACCCCTCAAAAAGAGGACTGAGAGGCCACAACCAGCCAAGCTGTTCACTCCAAAAGTCTGGGGGAGGGGACCAGCTGGCCAACACAAAGCAGCCTGATACCAGACTGCAGCGGAAGGGATTTAGGATCTATTTCCAGGTGTCTCTGCAAATAAAGTTCTCAAAACATCTTTGCCTTTACCAAGGAAGGGGAGGGAAGAGGATACATAAATGCTGGCAGTTTTGTTGAATCCACCCTGAACCAGTCCTCGATGGCCATAGGTCTTAGCCAGACAGGGCAGGGACTTGTTACTGTTACCACTCTTTCTTTTTCTCATCCATGGAGACACCCCCAGGGCCCAGGGCCACCACTAGGAGCAAGCCCCCGATCACCGACATGGTCTGGAAGAAGTCGTACTTTAGGAAGTCATGCATAGGCTTATAGACTGGAATGGTCCAGAAGGCGTTGAAATACACGTTGATGGCAAACAGCCAGACGACAAGAGTCAAAGCAGCCAACTTGGTTTTAAAACCAATGGCCACTAAAATCATCAGAGCTGTGCCCACGATGTTCTGGACAATCTGCAATGGGTTGAAAGATATGAAACTCAAAATAAATGTGAGGGAAAAAGAGATACTTGAGATTCTTTTGCCTCAGCCTCCCAAGTAGCTGGGACTACAAGCGCCCACCACAACGCCCAGCCATTTTTTGGTTTTAGTTGTCATTGCTGTTTTGGCAGGCCAGGGCTGGATTCGAACCCGCCAGCTCTGGCACTGAGCCCCAACTGCCTCTTATCACTAAAGTATCTGCACCAGGTTGATGCAGCTGCTGCTAAGAGATGGCAGGTGGAGACAGGAGCAGGCAGGGCAGGCGGTAGGCAAAGCAACCTCTCCAAAGCGTGAAGAGTGTGGGAAGAGTCGAAGAAAGTCTCTATCTGTTATAAGCCACTTGACCTCAACAAATCTCTAATCTACAGCCAAATTCCCAGGTGCCTCTTGCTCCACCAGGCCATTCTCACCAGAAATGCCTCCCCTCTCCTCATGGCACCAGGAGTCCTTGCTGTTTTGCCTGACCAGGGCTCTCAGTCAGCTCCTGGAGGACTCTGTGCCCCGACACGTGGCACATGGGAAGCACTGGACAAAGGTGGGAATAGCAAGGAAAGAAACACAAGACACTACACGGACGGCCTCAGCAACAGTGGGAGGACCAGAGCAGGGGACACAGGACCCCAGGGGTCAGGGAGGGTCCAGGCTTAATTTGCTAGAAAGGCAGCTTCTTGGCACACAACAGAGATGACAGTCTTTGGATCAGAGGAACTTGCTCCCTCTTAACAGTTCCCCAGGCTACATTAGCGCACAGCCAAGGCACAATGGCAGGATGGGGAGGCAGCTGGTACTCACAGAGAAGAGGCTGGCGTCGAAATGCAGCAGTGTCATGAACATCAGGACGAGCAGGACCCTGCCTCCCAGCTGCATGTACTGCTTCGGGGAGCTCTCTCGCATGGTAGGGACTCCCGCGAACATGCTCTTCCCTTCAGAACGGGACTCTGCCAGGAGCAGCAACAAGCCGCCTCCCAGGGCCAGGTTCCTGAGGAACGGAAATGGCAGCCAGAGCTCAGCAGGCATCTGTCCATCAAAGCAGATCCAGGGAGATCCAGGTCCCCCCTTCCCTTTCTCCAGACTAGCCCTCTGCTGACAGGCATATCAGTACAGGGGCCTGGCACTGGCATTAAACAGATGTAAAACCTTTTTTATTTTGAGACAGAGTCTCACTATGTCGCCCTCAGAAGAATGCTATGGTGTCACAGCTCACAGCAACCTCAAACTCCTGGGCTTAACCGATTCTCTTGCCTCAGCCTCCCAAGTAGCTGGGACTACAGGCACCCGCCACAACATCCGGCTATTTTTTGTTGCAGTTGTCATTGTTTAGCAGGCCCAGGCCAGGTTCGAACCCACCACCTTTGGTGTATGTGGCAGGCGCCGAACCATTGATGTAAAATCTTACACAGCCCAAGAAACAGAGGCGTCTTTACAACTAACAGCAGTGGCATACACGCAGGACCAAGCCCTCTCACGGCTTCACTGCTGGGCCAGTGGGGTCCCCATAAGCAGGTCACTGCTTCACTCCCACTACTATTCTAGGGGCTCCGGACGGGGCACTGTGCTGCCCACAACAGAACCTGAGCCTCAGAGGCTCAGCTTAAACCTGAGGAAGCTGACTCCAACTGACAGCTACAAAGCTTTGGGATGCAGACTCAGGATTCCTTAACTGAAGTGCCTGGGACCAAGCATTTCAGAATTGTTTGGATTTTAGAATATTCATGTCACATTATTTACCAGCTGAGCACCCCAGATCTGAACACCCAAACCGTGAAACGCTTCAACAAGCACTTCCTCTGAGTGACACGCTGGCAGTCAAAAATCTTCAGATTTTAGAGCATTTCAGATTCTGGGGTTTCAGATTTGGGATGTCACCCTGCACAAGAAGAAAACACTAAAATAACCAGCCAGAGCACACATACCTCATCAGAAACTTCAAGTCCCATAAAATGCTGTAGGCGATCGTCTGTGGGGGATGAAGAAGAGATATGAGTCTCAGCATTTTCTTGTTTTTAGCCTAATCACAAGTTTATTGAAATAATCGGTTAATATAACAAATTGCGCAGGACTTGACATAGTAATTACACAGTAACAACTTCTATTATCGAGTCACCAAGAGCCCGGCACAATATTGTAGTATGCTTAAGTTCTCAGGCCAGCATATGAGTCTGTATTTACTCCTGAGTAAAGTAAGAATTCCAACTTCCATAGAATAGTGCTAGATGGTGAGACAGGAGGTTGACCCCTCTACCTCTAAATTTAGGGAATTATCTTAGTGTCTACCTATTGTGTTAGAAAGTCATGCTTCATCTGCTTACAGAAACCATGGTACAGCCTGGGTGTGCACAAACCATAGACATAAGGATGTTAAGGAAAATTAATTGCTGAAGTTACCACCAGAGGTTCCAGACAATGTAAATCCCCGGTAATCATTTTTGCTGTGACAGACTTCCTAAATACTTTGCTTAAGTCTACTATGTCCCAGGAAATAAGTCTTGGGAGGATGGAATTTCTAAATTCAGGCAGTTTTCTGGATAAAGTATTTGTTACTTTTTATTGATAGAAAATAATCCATTGTGTAGATTTTGTTTACTCATTTTGATTATTGCTCATCAGTTGATTTGGGTTGTTTCCACATTTTGACTTTTATGAATAACACTTCCTGGAAGAGTCTCAGCATTTTCAAATCCACAAAGTTAGTAACAGCATTAGGCAGGTTTTCCAGTATGAGAGGGAATATAAAACATAAAAAAACCATTTTAGGACCCTGAGGCTCCAAGTTCAGATATTTGGTTCAGTATTTCTCAGAGTGTGGTGACAGGCCCTTGGTCTTTTTTTTTTTGGTAGAGACAGCATCTCACTTTACTGCCCTTGGTAGAGTACTATGGGTCACAGCAACCTCAAACTCCTGGGCTTAGGTGATTCTCTTGCCTCAGCCTCCCGAGTAGCTGGGACTACAGGTGCCCGCCACAATGCCCAGCTATTTTTTTGTTGCAGTTTGGCTGGGGCTGGGTTTGAACCCACCACCCTTGGTATATGGGGCTGGTGCCCTACCCACTGAGCCTCAGGCACCGTCTGCCCTTGGTCCTTTTTAACAAGCACTTGTCTGTTTAGTCATCAGAGTTGGGCCCATGATGTTCCAGAGAACCAGGTGACTGTGACACTGGCATGGACTAAAACACCCTGTTTTCAGCATTCCTTCTGAGTGGTCAGGTTTGCACTTCATGAAGTGATAGTGCCCTGGCTGCAGCTCGTGATGTCCCTTGTCACAGGAATCTCAGGAATGTGGCAAAAGATGGGCCAGTATCCAGAGATACCACTTGCAAGGGGACCATCCTCTATGGCCCTGCATGGCTGTCTGGTTCTCTTGAGCTTGCTATGAGCAAAATCCAACGATTTCCCCAGAAGAGAAAAGGAGTTACAGGCAGTCAGACACCCACAGGGCCAAGGGTGAATGATGCTGACCCCTCAAAAATGGCTCTCCAGGAGCTCTGCTCCACCAGAGCAAATGAAAGTTAATTCCCTGCTGTGCACCACCCCTCCCTGCAGTGCTGAGATCCCAACACGAGACCCTCCTGTACCCCATGTACCTGCAGAGCTATGATTCCAAAAAGCCCGAAGCAGGCGTACTGCACAAAGTTCCTGCTCAACACCAGGACACAGCCAGCTGGAGAGGAGAAGAGCTAGGGTTAGGAGGACAGCAGCCGGGTCCTGGGCAAGGAGACACTATCATGGCACACTGCCACCTCAACTGGCCCTCTAGTCTAGCTGTAGCCAAACCACCTACCCAAGTGAAAAGCAACTTCTGGGAGAAGTAACAATAGGTAAGAACATGTGATGAGTTAACTGGACTTCACTAATCAAACCACGAGTCTGGAAGGCAGCTCCCTTGCAATTGACTGCCCTACTGCGGGGAGCTCCAGAACAGGCAAGTCCCTTTCTCACCCCATGAGGCACAAGGGAGGGCAGAAAAGGCCCTGAGGAGCTTCCATCTGGCCAAGTGCCGTCCGTCCTCCATTTACCTACATCCTGCCAGCGGTTCTAGACACTGCCTCCACCAGCCTTAGCTTCTCTTAGGCCCTCCCCAACAACCCAGCCTCTCTGTGCCCTGCTCTGGGGCTTGGGCAGGTGCTACTTCATAAGCCCTAAAAGCAATGAGCCCAGGATTGCAGCAGGCAGAGCGTCCACATGAATGCTCGAGAACTGAACCCCTGGCCCGGCATGCCAAGCTGGAGGTGAGGGAGAGCCTCCTGTTCACACGCACTCAGCTGTCCGAGCAGGTTGAGGAACACGAAGGAAGAGGCCAGCAGGTAGCCGCAGCTCCAGGTGGTGTCGATGTAGTCGCGCTGCTCGCTCCACTGGAACCACATGCGGATGCCGTCCTCCAGGAAGGTGCTGATCAGGCAGAGGCGCGCCACGTGCGGCAGGTACTGCTTCGTGACTCGGAGGAACTGCAGAGCCACAGAAACTAGGGGTGAGGGCGCTGTGGCGGGGGGCACAGACCCAGTCAGGCACCACATCTAGCCAGGCACGTATGGAGACAGGGCACTAAGGAGGGAAAGTGCTGCAGAAGGGAGGGCTCTCGTCAGACCCAGGGCGGCCCCCAAGCACCACCCTGTAAGTCTGCACACATGAGACAACCCAAGCATTGGTCCCAGCGATGACCAACCCGGCACCAGGCCCGCAGGGCATGGGCCCCCTTTCACTGTGACCTGCTTCAATGCTGCAGAAGGCAGGCAGGCCTGGGTGGCAGCTATAGTCACCAGGCGTGGAACTGCCACAAGGCACAAAGCTGCTCTTCTCAAGAAAAGCAGAAACAAGTTCAATCACAGAATGACTTCTGAAAAGGCCCCTAGAGGTCATCTGGTCCAGTTTCTCCACCTCAGTACTGGTGGCTCTGGGCTGGCCTTCTGTGTGTGGCTGTCCCAGGCACTGCAGGTGTGGAGCCACATGCCTGGCCTCTGCCCACTCTGGCTTTGGTGGCAGCCCCTGTTGTGGCACCACAATGCCACCCACCATTGCCACACATCCCCACTGCTATAGCACAATCCCTGTGCTACAAAGGGGCAAACTAAGCCTGGGAGGAAGGGATCCCCAGGCTGCTCTGATGGCGTAATGCTGTGACTCGACCCTAGCCTGTTGGTCACTCATGGGGAAGGGCGAGGTCTGGAATTCTAGGCTTCCCAATGCCACCCCAAACCCTCCAGACAGAACTAGGTTCAGGGGCCTGGAGGGCCTCAAGGTTGGGCAAACAGTAAGCTTGCACTTGCATAGTTATCCAAAGTCTCCAGTGTAGCAGGGAAAAGCTCCAGGCTCTGAAGAACACAGTACAGTCACAACTAAAGCTGGCATGTCCCAGCCTGGACATGCCTCAGTCCCCAGGATGTGTGACAATTTTAAGATATGGAACTGGAGGTGCACATGGTGGTGGTGGGCGCCTGTGATCCTAGCTACTTGGGAGGCTGAGGTGGGAGGATGGCTTGACCCCAGCCTGCACAATAGGGTTGAAACGCCATCTCTAAAAATAAACATAAGGCTCAGTGCCTGTAGCTCAAGCAGCTAAGGCGCCAGCCGCATATACCAGAGTTGGCGGGTTTGAATCTAGCCCGGACCTGGCAAACAACGACAACTAAACCAAAAAATAAAAAAATGGCTAACATTGTGGTGGGCTCCTATAGTCCCAGCTACTTGTGAGGCTGAGGCAAGAGAATTGCCTAAGCCCAAGAGTTGGAGGTTGCTGTGAGCTGTGATACCACAGCCTTCTACTGAGGGTGACAAAGTAAAACTGTCTCAAAAAAAAAAGAAAAACTCGCTGGGTACTGTGTGCCCACCTGTAGTCCCAGGTACTTGGAGGCTGAAGCAGGAGGATTGCTTGAGCCTGGGAATCTGAGGTTGCAGTGAGCTCCCATGATGAATAACTGTTTCAACAGCAAAAATGTGTGTAAAGTAATTCTCAAAGGTCAAAGGGACAAATACATTTATGACTTCCTTCTCTCCCTTCCATGTGGTGTCATTTATGATGGCCAGATTAGGAGACCAACATGCACTGCTGAATGCCAGGTACAAATGTCATGCAGGTTCACCTCGTGCCCTTCTCTCTCATCACCACTCACAATCGGCACAAAGTGGAAGAAATCCTGCAATAACGTGGCAGGTCCTCAGGAGAAAGATCAGGGACCCACCCACCAGAGTGACGTGTCAAGAGGGCAGGTCTAAAGGGCACACTTGAGTCTGACCCCACCATGGGACAGGTGTGCCAGTGTTGGCCACATAGGCCCTCACAGTGCCAACTGACCTACCTGGGGGGTAAGTGACAGTGTCCAGAACAGCGTGCCTCCCTGTTTAGCACTTGGTGACTCAGAGTCCCAGATGCTGCTGGAGCACCTGTCTCAGCTATCAGGCACCTGGTGGGAGGTTCAGATCCCCTTCAGCCTGTCAGTGGGGCCCTGGACCAGTCACTTAAGCTCCCAGAGGGCAGGGAACAGAGTTCACAAAGCCCAGTGGCCATTCTTCTCACAGCCACTGAGCCTACTCCCCACAGAGCCTACTCAGTGCCTGGCCCTTACTGAAGAGATGGCAGAAATTGCAGAGACAGACACCCCGAGAATCAACCCAGCAGGTCTGGAGAAGGAAGCAGAGGCTGAGTTCTGAGGCCTCTCCCCCCCCATACCAACCAGTGAGGGCAACGCGGGGCTATGCACAGGCCATGTTACTTCTGTGGGGTCTCTGCTGTCCTCCATAGAGTGAAGACAGCTGGATGCTAAGATCTGTTCCAACTTTAATAGTATAAACTCAGCAGAGAAGGAGAAAAGGAGAAAGACCTTTTTGTAAAAAAGAGGTCCATGTGGTGGTGCCTGTGGCTCAAAGGAGCAGGGTGCCAGCCTCAAAGGCCGGAGGTGGCAGGTTCAAGCCCAGCCCTGGCCAAAAACTGCAAATAAATAAATAAATGAAATAAAATAAAAAAGAAGAGGTCCAAATACTTCCATGTGAATTTGAGAGGCCAGGTGGAGAACAGACAAGACGTGAGTGTGTATAGTGTGAGCACGTTGTGCCATGCCAGGAGGCAGGAGACAGCAGACACCACGCACCTCACACCTGCCCGGGCTCTGTCTTAAGGCCCGGATGCTTTCACAAGGAGGAAGAGAGGAGAGACCACCACCTCTGCTCCCAATTCAGCAAGGCTCTAATGTGGTGACCTTCACATCAGGGCCCCCTGAGGAGCCTGGCAATAACACAGGCCTTCACCTCCTCTAAGTCTGGGAAAAAGCATAAAAGCAACCCCAGAAGGAAGAGCTCAGCAAGAGGCCAACAGCTCTCTTTAGGAGACTGGAGTGGAGAGGACTCCAAAGGGGACGGGATGAACCCTGAAGGCAACAGAGAGAGAAATTGCAGCCCAGACACCCGAGGTGTTCTGACTTGCTCCCAGAAGCAGGCTGTCAGCCACTCGCTGAACCCAAGACGCGCAAACAAGCCCCAGCCCATGGGCTGTGGCCTAACCTTCCCTCAGAACCCAACTGCCAACCACGAAGCTAAAGTAGTGTCTAAAATCTTCCTTGATGAGGCGGCTATTCTTAATTTGAGTGTCTGGGTCAAAAAGATTAAAGAGCAAAAATAGAACAAGGTGGGATAGGAAGGCAATTCATACCTCCCTCCCTGCCCTGGCAGGCATGGCCAGGAGATTAGGGCAGCTCTTTGCTTTGGGAGAGAAAGTACAAAGATACTGCTCCACTCAGCATACAGCATCCTAGGCCACTTTGGTTTCAAAGAGAGGCCAACAAGGTTCAGGCAGAAGGCTGACCATTTAGTCCTTTAAATCAGCCACCGCCTGAGGGCAGTCTGTTGGAATGAATTTGAAAAGAAAAGCCCCGAAAGGACATGCCCTCACCCAAAGTTAACCTGTCTTCAATACGCATGTGGGTCACAACTGTGCAGACTTGGCCACTGGAGCCACATCATGTTGCCCTAGAAAGCATCTCCTCAGCATGGCAGGGACAATCTCACGACTTAGGCAGTGCAGGCAGCACCAAGAATCCGTAGCACACTGGCCACTGCTGCCTGCTGCCCAGGTAAACACTGCAAGTACTAAAACCTGTGACTGTCCCCTCATCAGAAAACCAAGGTGGGGGGGGGCCGAGGTGGACACTGACCTGGACAACCTGTGGGAAGAGATGACACAGGTAGATCACCTCTAAGACGTCTCATCGGGACTCTCTGAGAACCCAGTGGGTTGTGGTTCAGAAACAGATGACCTCCACATGGAGAAACGTGGAAAGCTGAGATTTACCTAAAAGGGCTATTATTTTAGAGTCTTACAGGGGATTTTTGAAGGCTAATTATACCCAGGCTGAGAGATGACTCTGGGCATCCATTCCCATACCACACAGAAAACCTACTTTCTCTTCACATTCAGGACAAGAAGGAATTGAGCAAAGCAGCCTGCAATTGTTGATAAATGAGAACTGTGAGAAAAAGGGAGGTCAGATTTCCTTGCTCACCAAGGACCAGGACTTCCCTTGTCAAGGGCCAACTGAAGTCCACAAACCCCAGGGATGAGGACTTGTAGCCAAGGGACTCCCTTACACCAGCTGAGTCAGGGCCGCCATGAGAGTGTGGTGACTCACTGAGACTCTAGAACTTCCAGTAAGTCCCCTTCTAGGTGCTGCACCCGGAGGTACAGGTGTCACCTGTCATTGGCCCTATGCTGGAAAAGATAGCCTAGCTTTACAAATAACCTACATGTGATAAAAAGCCCAACCCTAGGAAAGGCCGCACAAAGGATGGCTGTGCCCCATCTTCTGGGAGCAGCCTCACTGACCACACTCTACTCTCCCCAACTTCTCCACCTCAAACCCCAAAAGAGAGGGGCAGTTTTCGGCGGGGCTGGGTTTGAACCCACCATCTTCAGCATATGGGGCCGGCACCCTACTCCTTTGAGCCACAGGCGCCCCCTAGGGGGCAGTTGTTTTTTAACCTCCCATAAGATCAGCAAGTGCGATCAGCACCTGCGGGGAAGGTGAATCAGTACCTCCTGGTCTTCTCTCCACACTCCTTTGTGGTGGGAACAGGAAGTCTTTTGTAGGGTACCACAAAGCCCATCAGACCACCACCCGCATGATGAAGGACACTCACCAAGAGCCTCCCAGCACCCGTGTACCACACGTGGGGGTGCAGGTGTCCTCATCAGGACCACCCACAATACCCAATTTCAACCAAGGCCAGCTCCCAGGACTAGCTGTGCCACCCTGGAGTCAGGCTGCAGCTTTTCTGTCACCCTGGTGATGAGCCATCAGACAGAACCCATTAAATGTAATATTCTCATTTACGTGTGTAAATGTGCTTAGAAGGTACATTTTGCAGAATCAAATGTGCAGGGAGTAGCAGTTGCCTGCGTGGACATTGTTTTGGATTGCTGAGTTTATTAGAGTTTCTGGTCCCTTCCCACTGCTTCCCAGAGCCCAGCTCCTGCATAGAGCACGTCTCAGCAGTTTCTTCAGAGCCTGGCTTCCTGGGAGCAAGAGGACACTATCCATGGCTGCCAGGGCAGAGAGCCTGATGCCAGAGGCAGAGACACAGCAAGGCAGCTGGGGAGAGCCTGCCAGCAGAAACCAACCAGACTGCTCTACCCATGGGTCAGCCTCTGCAGACCAGAAGGTGGTGAGGAGCTCAGCCTTTGGGGTAACCAGGCAAGGACTAACTCCAGCCCTACCACCAGCCAGTGTAGACCATGGCAACCCTCCCTTTGCCCATCAGAAGACAGGGACACTACGGCTGACTTCCTGAAGTCAAAAGGGTCACATAGGTCACCCTTGCATATCCCAGGTGCATCAAGAACATGGCCCAGCTAAAGGTTCAGTATTATGGTCATAATTATCAGAGAACACTTGGGAGTGGCAGATAAAGCTTTTTAGAGGTCTCTCTCAGCAGCCCAGACTTTCAGGTCAAATTATGACACTTCATTTTTGCTTTTGTTTTCTGAAGACAAAATTAGAACAAATGGATATGTCACATTATCTGATCAGTGACTTCCATGATTATTTTCATTGTCTTCAAATTAGATCTTTTTCATGTAACAGCCCAGACTCTCCCTCCGTTACTGGAAGCTTTATTTTTAAATACAATGTGCATAAAAGTAAAAAAGAACAACAGCACCACCCCCAACATGGTCAGACTTTGTCCACAGGAAGCCATATTTGCTTTGCATACTCTGCTTCACACCTGTTACCTGCCTATGGCAGAAGAGGGTCCTGATTTGGGTTGTGACTGCATGAGAGTCACTGCCCACAAAGAGGTACAGAGGCTCCTGCTGACATACTCTGCACCCCTGAGGCAGACTCTAACCAGGTGGGGGGCCTGTGCTCTGACAGAGTGGCCTTGACCCACTCTTGTGTTTGCTTCCACCACACTGCAGATTCTCCCCTCGATCTGTGCCCAGAGAGGAACACCAGGCACTGGAAGCTGCTATGCAGAGCCTCGCTTTCCCTCAGCAACCTAGTCAAGGTCAGCCCGTGTCCCCCACATGGGCCCACTTCTTTTGTCAAAAACATAACGAAACATGTAGAGGAGAAGAAGAAGAAAGGATTCCGTGAGGAGATTCAGAACTTTTTTCAGCAGGAGAGTCTATCATCTGAGAGCTGGCAGTAGCTTGACTGGAGACATTTTATCTAGATTTGGTTATGAAATTCACTTGCAAAACCATGCTTTTGCAGACTGAAGAGTGAGTGTTCGTAGCTCTCGTACTTCCCCTGGCTAAAGGAGGCATCTTCTGAGGGAGTTGTTACTTGGGGAAATAAAATCGGGTCACTAAAAATTATGTCAATGAAAACTGACAAACAAAAAAGGCCTACTTGATTCCAGAGAGCTTTTCATAGGGATTGTGTACGTGAGGAATACAGTTTTAAAAGTGTGCCTTTGAACACAAAATCATGACCTTAGGAAAAAACTGCTTCTTCAACTTGATGTACTTTTTACCCTGAAATTGATTTAAAATAGCAGCTCACAGGGAAAGTGCAGTAAGAACCCAATGACGACAACACACTAGAAAGATTATCACCCTTCAAGAGGGGCAACAGAAAAGCTCATTGACCAATCAGAAAATGCTCTCTTATTTTTTTAGAAACACACAGTCACAAGCCTTCCACTACACTAAGTCTAGGCCTCAGAGTTTGCTGACTCAGTACCACCCCCAGAAAAATTAAAAATTCAACCGTCACTACTTTAAACTCTGGCAAAACCACAGACACATTAAGTAAACTAAAACAAGGAAAGAATGGCAAGTCGGCCAGATGAGGATCTGCCTGCGGGGACAGGCTGTTAATTTGTAGACTTAACGGGATACTTTGGGAAGTAAAAGGCATACACCTAAATAACCACCATGGCCTTCTTTCTGCCAAGCTTAATCAAAAAAGAGAGGAAAGCTCTGTCCTCTCACCATTCCAGATTTCTTCCTGCCCACCTTGTCTCCGAATGCTTTCAACAGTTACTCAACAGCCTGTTCAGGGCTTCCCTGTTGCTCAGAATGCCACCTGTACACTTCAGGGAGGAAAAGAACCGGGAGATAGGCTTCCCCTCCTCCCAGGCCAGTGTACAGACACCCTTTACATTCGGCCCCAGGGCAGAGTCCAAACCGGGAAGAAAAGATGCAGAAAGGGTCAAGGGCCCCCACGAGTCCTACACATCTGGGGAACAGAAAAAAAAAACACAGAGCCGTGGCTTCCTGTAATTGGGATATAGTTCACGGCGCCCCCTTTCCTCCGGGAGGACCCCCCGGCCGCCAGTCCGACCACGCGCCCCTGCCCGCCCCCTCAGGCCGCCCAAACCCAACAGTTCACACGTAGACTCGTCCCGAACACCGCCCCGGGCTCGGGAGGCCGGGAGGAGACCACTCCCAGCTCCCACCTTCCAGGACCGCCCGGGCCAGGCTGGGCAAGAAGGGGTCCGAGAACATGCTCGCCGAGGAGGGGAGGCAGGGCTGGGGCTGTGGCCGGGCCGGGCGGCGAGCCTCGAGAGCGGAGGCCTCCCCTGGGACAGCAGAGAGCTCGGGTCGCGCTGCGGGCCGGAGCCCTACCGCGGGCTTCCAGGGTGGTCCCCGCCGGTCCGGCGGCCTGGCCCGGGAGGGCTGGGCCTCAGGGCCAATCGGGCCGGGGCAGGGGCCCGGGGACGGGGGCCAGAGGGCCGCACCTGATCGGCGAAGTCCTCGGCCGTGCCCATCAGGTCGTTCTGGCCCATGGCGGCGGCAGCGGGAGGCTGAGCTCGGCTCGCTCGCTCGCTCGGCGCTCAGCCCGTAGGCGCCCGGCCCGCTGCGGCCTCCACAGGAAGTGCCAGCGGCCGGCCTCGCTCCGCTTCGGCGGCGGCTCCGGCGGGTGCCACGTAGGCCAAGCCTTAAAGGGGCCGCACGCCTCCGGGCCCGCCCCGGCCCCTCTTAAAGGGACCGCTCGCCTCCAGCAGCCGCGCTCGAGGCCCCGCCCCGCCCCGCCCAGCTATCTCGAGGCTCCGCCCCGCCACGATCCAGTCCCAGCGGCAAGTCCCCATTAGACCGCGCGCGGTCCCTTTAAGGCGGCGGGGCCTGAGTGGGGGCGGAGGGATGCGTGGGTGCCGCGGCCACACCGTTCGGGGCCCGAGTGTGCGCGGGCGCGGCGGCCACGCGCGAGTAGGACATCGTGCGGGGGAAGGGTGGGTGCGCGGCAGGTGCGGCTTCCACTGAACATGTTCAGGTAGGGGTCCGCCCGCAGGCTTGGGCTCGCGGCGCTCACCGGCAGCACCCAGTGCGCCGGGGCGCGGGGGGGCGGTGTTGAGTCAGTGTCAGACCCAGCGATCATGGAAAAGTATGAGGTGCGCCCCTCGGGGAGGGCTAACGGTCACGACCCCGGGCCGGCAGTGGGGCCCGGGCCGGCGGCTGCCTTCAGCTTGCAGGTTAACCCCGAGCCTCGAAAGGTGCCCTCCTGGGTCCCCTTCGCTTCCCTGGGTCTCAGTTTCCCCTCTCTGAGACAAGCAGACTCTGCATGCCTGGCCGGGTGCCGGAAGGTGTTGGACCGCTCCTGGACCTGGAAAATTAACAAAATCAGAAGAAAAGCTTGCAGAAAGAAATGAGTGGATGTTTTATTAAATGCTTCATACTTAGTATGTTAGCATTATTAAATGTTAGGTTCGTATTTGTAAAAATTGTATTAAGTTGGAAACAACTTGTAGGTTAAATTTTCCTCACTTTGGGAGAATTTGTGTGAGAGGAGCCCGGCCACAGGCAGTAAGTTACTTTTTTTTTTTTTTTT